CAGCCGCGGTTGAAACTGATCAGTTTCAGCAGCGGCTGACGCCAGTTCCGACTTACATACAGATTCAACTTAAGAACAAACCTACAGTCCCTATCTTGTACGTAACCCGGGGACTGCCTGTACTCTGCTGACACCATCATTGGGCCTAACCATGTCAGTTACAAGATCAAGAACACGTATTCCTGCTCCTCCAGAAATATAACTTATGCCATCATGTGCCAACAGTGTCCGTGCATCAGACACTTTGCCAAAGAATCAATACACATAAAACAGACAGTTTCACAAAGAAAAAACAGTTTCTTGCCATTTCAATCAGCCTGGGCATTGTCTCAATGACCTGACTACCTGCAACCTGCTTCAAAGAGGCTTTAACACAAGATTTCAAAGAGAAGCCTCTGAACTGTCATGTTTAAATTTGACATTTTACGAATGGGCCTTAACAAAGATGCTAATTATCTCATCCATTACAAAGATAGCTTCCCCAATTATCACCTCTAATATCATTACCTCATAGACATTAACCCCCCTCTCCGCCCCCTTCTCCCCCATCTCCTCTCTGTTCTAAAATCAGATTTGTCTTTTTGATTGTATCCCTTTGGTATATATGGTCGTACCAATTTTCTTCCACTATTTGATCTAAAGAAGTGGGTCTGGCCCATAAAAGCTCATCACCTAATAAACCATCTTGTTAGTCTTTAAAGTGCTGCATAGTCCTGTCTTGTGTTTCAGGAAGGAGAGGGACACCAGGGAGGCAGGGGAAGCACCCAGAACACATGCTGCCTGAGCAGGTTAGAGCTGGTGAGGACAAACTCTATAAAAGTGTCAATGTCCTTAAATGACCACAGAATAGTGGAACAGCAGCCCATGAGTGCTCTGTTCTATCATGTCTTTTCTGTTCCCACTCTACCCTCTCCTACAATATACCCCTCCATCTCCTGACATGCCCCTTTGCCAGAGGAGTAGCTGCCACAGGAGGTAGCTATACAGCCTCTGCAAGCTTTATACCAGTGGTCCCCAACGCGGTGCCCGCCGACA